GCCAAGCCCCGCCTGGCCAGCCCCACGTGGCTGCCCTGATGACCGCCTCGGGCACGGCCTGGGCGCTGGCTTTGGCCTGGACCCGGCGCCCTGCGCCCTTCAGTAGCAAGGAAACCCGGGGCTTTTGTCGAGTCACGCTGAGACGCGCGTCCCCTCGCGTGCGCCCCACGGGGACGGACGTCCTTGCGGTGGGCGGGGGCCGTGCGGCTGTGCTCTGTCCACGCACTGTCGACGGGGCAGCCGGCCAGGGCACTGCCTTGGCCTCGGCCGCCAGGACCACGGCTTTTGTCACAGGCGGGATCCCGGGCCTCTGCGGGCAGGGCTGCTGGCCCTCGGGTGGGGCGGGGTGGCCCCCGGGGCCGTGGCGGCGTCGGTGGGGGAGCTCCGGGTGCAGGCTCAGGCCACGACGTGGCCGTGCGTTTCTCAGGAGGAAGGTCTCCCGGATTCTGGGGGGTGTGGGCCGGTTTCCTTCTGCTTCTGACTACTTTACAGAGGGAAAATAAGTAACAGTAAGAAAATATTTCAGAGCAAAATAAGTTAAAGTCGAAAACACCCTGTGGGGCGGGCGCAGGCAGGCCGGACACTGAGGACAGCAGTGGGCTTCGTGGGGGTCAGCCTGCACCCTCAGACCGCGCCCCGCGCAGGCAGGCCCCCCTGCCTGTCGGAGGGCAGCGGGGACAGGGTGAGGACCCTGAGGAGCCCCGCGGCTCTGTGGGGGCAGATGGTGGCTCGCGCGCCCGGCGCTGACCAGTCCTCCCTGGGCCCTCCGCAGAGAGTCCGGCCGGGGCTGGAGAGCAGGAAGAGGAGAGTCCTCCCGAGCGTGCGGCTGCCCCCCACACGCCCCCCAGCACCCCCGTGAAGGCTGAGGAAGGTGAGCTCCGGGCGGGGTGGGGGCACTGTCCAGCGGGAGGGCGCCGGTGTGCGGGAGACGTCTGTCCGTGCTCTGGCCGCCGCCTCTCCCGTCCCGGTGTCCCGGTGACCGGAGGCCGCGAAGGAGACCGGCCTGCGCCTGTGACGTCCGCTTTGCCCCGCCGGCCCCTCGCTGTCCCCCTCTGGGGAGGGCCGTGGGTGAGCGGGCGGGGTGGGACCGCCGGTCGCCGAGCACACCGGGCCGGATGAGCACACCGGGGGGGGGGCTCTCAGCCGGACAGCTCCCGAGGGCTCTCGCCCGAGCCTCGGGGTGCAGGTGGGCCGGGTGGGCTACCGCTCCTTAGCTTAGGGGTGGGGCTCGCAAGCCTAGACCGCGTGCTGGGGAGAGGGACCCCACCTAGGCTGGCTGGCCTAGGGGACCCCGCCCTGAAGGCAGCTGTCAGGTG